TTTCAAAAATCTCAAAATTAGGATTAGGAATCTTGGCTAAGCCTAGAAACGGGGGAAGAACAGCAGAAGTGGCAAAAGTTGTGTATGGAACTCACTTTGGTTCCAAAAGTTTCAATCGGATCAATTAAGTGCCAAAAGTTGAGAAAAAAGATCACTTAAGTGCCACTTCGCCGGAAATCCGACGTGGCATTTTTTTATTAATTTCTCAAGCTGATGTGGCTCGCCGGAGGCTGATATGGCTCGCCGGGGGCTGATGTGGCTTTTCTTTTCTTTCTTTTTTCCTTTCTTTTCTTTTTTTTCTTTTCTTTCTTCTTATTTCCGATGGCCGGCGTCCGGCCACCAGCCATGGCTGGCCTCGCCGGGCATCGTCTTCCTCCGGGCGAGGGCCGGCGAGGCCAGCCCTCGTCCGGAGGAAGGCCACGCCACGGCGAGGCCGCCGTGACCTTGGCGAGGGCTTGCCTCGCCAGATCCGGCGTGGCCGGTCCTCGCCAAGGCCACGACTGCCTCGCCGAGGCGTCGTCTTCCTTCGGGCAAGGGCCGACGAGGCCGTCGTGGCCCTCGCCGAGGCCATGACTGCCTCGCTGAGCCTCGCCCGGAGGAAGGCGACGCCCAGCGAGGCTGGCCATGGCCGGTGGTCGGCCTCCGGCCACCGGCCATGGTAGAAGAAGAAGAAGAAGAAAGAAAAGAAAAAAGAAAAGAAAAGAAAAGAAAAAAGAAAAGAAAGAAAAAAATCAGAAAAAATATTTAAAAAATTGAATTATACACATGGAAATGCCACGTGTCATTAAAATTTAAATATAAAAGCCACGTATTAAATTTGGTTGGAATTTCTCGCCGTTGGCACTTAAGTGATCGTTTTTTCTCCGATTTGGCACTTAAGTGATCGCCGGCGTAAACTTTTGGCACTTAAATGATCCAAATGAAACTTTTGGCATCAAAGTGAGCTCCGTACACAACTTTTGGCACTTCTGCTATTCTTCCCCCCCTAGAAACCTATTTCTAAACCAAAAATAATTTTTTTGTCGAGCCATGAGACCATCATTTCTAGGGTTAATCAGATGTAGGTAATTCAATTTTGGCACCAATTTTACCTAATCAGGTCATTAAGGCATCGAATTGAACAAAGCCCCAATAACCCGAGTATAAAAAGTTAAAAATCTAGGACATGATTTTGTCAAAAATTGGGGAAAATCACATATTTGGGTTCAAAATGTGATGAGGAATTCAATTTTGGGGTTTAATTTTGAAAATTCGGTTAAAATTGGGCTCAATTTAAATTTTTAGCCAAAACCGGGCTTACCGGGTCAACTAGGTCAACCCAACCCGACCTGGGAACCCGTCTTCGTCACCCGAATCGCCCAGAATGTGCTAAACCCAGAAATATCCTCTTAAACCCGTGACTTCATGAACCTTCCCCGATCAATCTAGCACGTGCAAATCGACTTGGCTAGCTGGAGAATCTCCAGCGGGCGCCAAAGAATTATCCTAACTGATTCTACGTCGGTGGAAATAAACTTTAGGCGGGAAAATCAATCAACAAAAGCTAGAAAAAACTGATCATTATGCACAGAACGTGTTCGACGAAATTCCAAAAAGAGAGAAAAGAGAGAACTAGAGAGAAGAGGAGAGAGATCGAGCAAGAGAGTGAGTTGAGACTCCCTAAGATCGAGCGATCAGCACTTTTCTGGTCGGAAAAGCGCCGGCAAATCGATCCTGATGGTGAATCTCCTCGCCGGAAGACCTGTGACAAAGCTGACTGAGAGGCTCTGAAACTGAGCTTCGGCCAGGCAATCTGGGACTTTCTCGGTGATACGAAAAACACTACCTTGAAGAACAAACGTTGGGGAATTGTTCTAGAGCCTCCTTACCTCTCAGAATTTCAGATTTGACCTCCATTTAAGAAGGTAAAGTTCGTTTACAATCACGTTTTGACAAAAATCCAAAATATGTATTTGAGCTCAATCATGTTTGATCATACAATTTTCTTCGTGATTTTGAGTTTATTGATGTCTAAAACGTGTTCCTGATCATGTTTTACATTGTTTGATTGCAACTTGGATGGGATTATGCATTTGACTGAGTCGGCCGTCCATGAAAACCTTCGCTGGAGCTTCCTAGACCTTGCCGGAGCATTTTTATGACCAATCATCGCTCAAGTTAGTGATTTCTGACTATGATTCATGCTCTGATGATTGTTTTGAGCGATAGAAATGGCTAGGGCGCTAGATTTATGGATCTAAATGTTAGAATTAGTTGTTAGAACTGTTTCGAGTTAAGTGTTTTAGATCAGTTTTTCACCGCCTGGTGATGGTCTGACGACGAACTAAGGAGGCTAGATAGTTGGAGGATGATATGGACTCAACATTATACCAATTGAAATGGTTAAAATCCCGCCGGAAGGTCGTCGGAGGTGACCTTGAACCGACAGCCTCGCGAACATTTGAACCAGAATCATGCACACCACCTGTTCGAGGAAATGCCACAATGAAGAGAAAGAAAAATGGCACCGTTTTGGTGTTGTGCCCGCCGGAGCGCCGACCGGCGCCGATGCCAGCCGGTTCAACTTGGTCGGACCGGTCTGAACCCAGTCCGGTCCGGTTCGCTTTCTAGGCGGGAAAATTTTTAAAAAATAAGTAAAGAATATAAAAAAAATAAAAATCAGGAAAAATTTAAAAAAATTGGAAAAACCCAAAAATAAAAAAATAAAAAAATCTTAAAAAAAGGAAAAAATTTAGAAAATTCATAAAAATTCAAAAATTTTAGAAAATCCATAAAAATTTAGAAAATTCAAAAAATACAAATAAAAAATATGAAAAATTCAGAAAATCTATAAAAAAAAATTCGAAATTTTGAAAATTCATAAAAAAATTTAGAAAAACATAAAAATCAACTCTCGATTAATAAAATTCTCAGAAATTCAATTTCCCAAAAAAAAATTAAAAATTTCAAAAATTCACAGAATGGTCCAAAAACACTATGACCAACCTTGGAAAGTGAAATTTGAATTTTTGGAAGTGCCTAGGTGGTATTTTTATAAAATCTCAAATTTAAGGGTTATAACCCCTAAAAAATCCTAAAATCCTAAAAAGACACAAATTGTGAAATGAACAAGCCTTTAGGGCTTCATTAGGGTTTGGATGTTTTGGTTGGATTTCATTTTTAGAGACAATTTAGGATTGTTTGGTTTGATTGACCTTGATTGCGCATTTAATTTTTGATTGATTTTCCCCGCAATTAGAATGGATAGGATTAGTGGGATAGGCCTCGGAAACTTGTGTGACACGTTAGACATCGTATCGTTCTTAGGTACCGAAAGGGCGTTAGGGATCTCGATTTGGGATCATTAGTGTAACCAAGTCCCCGTACTCAGAATCTCTAGTTCGTAGAATCGTGGTATTTCTCCCATATCCCGATTATGTTTCTAGTCAACCTACCAACGATAACTAGTGGCGACTCCAAAATCGAGAACTTAGATCAAATAGGAAATTACCATCCACTGTCACGTGAGGTATGGTCTGGGAGAGACCCATACATGGAAATACCTCCTTAGCATGCAAACTCCGAAAGTTCCAAAAAAAGCGCGGCGCGACAATTATATTAGTTTGGATGGGCATAATTAACGAAGATGAGTCAAATCTATATTAATAGGCATAATTAACTATTCTAATTTTCCCCAATTTTGCGGCGCCCATCTTTGACTTTTGCTTTTTACAGAATACTAGACACTTTTAAAAGTATCCAGATATCGTCACATGAAATAGTTTACAATGAGTCTTTCATCCCTTATTGAAACTTAAAGTAATGTTTTGTATGTTCAAATTTCTGAGAGCGAGACATAATTAGAAGTTATAAACAGGCAAAAATCGACTCCAACTTTCTAAATAAAAAGTTATTAACCGTGTGGACAAGCTGGTTACTAATTTTTGATAGGTTGAAAGTTACTTTTTCAAATTGAAATTTATGAATCACTCTGAAAAAAATACTAGTCTTAGTCTCACGGATGGACACATAATTGCTTTCTCAAAACTAAAGATTTACAAACCAGGGTAAAAATTATTTACGTTAAGGAGTTGGTAACAAAATCACCATTAAAAAAGTTGCTAACCATTTTGAGGGGAGAAGGGACTAAAATTTGTCTCTGTCCCCATTTGATTGATTTCAGGGTAATGCCTCTGGTGAACAAGTGATACAAAGTTTCATTATTTCCTGACAGACTCCACTTACAACAAATATTGAAACAACTCTCTCATCATCTCATCAAGATGATGATGATGATGATGATGATGATGATGAGCTTCACTTATTTATCTTCTTACTAAAATAATATTAGGGTTAACCAAAAGACACCTTCCACCCGAAACTTCTAGTTTTTTATCAGTTTGGCAGTGCATTGGGGTTCAAAAGTCTGTACTGCCTCCGCTATGCCGATATGCGCCATGAGAAGCCAAATATGGCTGAGAAGCTCTCCTCCTCTGTTCAGGCTCTCGCAGTGTTCGTGGCCTTTGCATTGGCAAGCTGCATATATCAGCAAATTTGCCCAGACCGTGACGATCAAGTGCCATTTCGAGCTGAAGTTACCAAGATCTCCGTTATTCAACTGGGATGCAATATGGCACCCGTCAAACAGCACCGACCTGCTTTCGCTTCTGCGCATGTCCCTCTCGCGGAGGTCAGTTCTCACTTGGAGCAGAAGATGGTAGATTTCACACAGATCGCGTAACTCTCTTGACTTGTGCCCCTTCTCGCAGCTTTTAACCCCAGTGTGCAAATGTTCGTCTTTCTTGAATAATTTCATTACCCACTTGATGACAACTGATGAGACATTGCCTTCGTTCTTTGACATCTCTGCTTGCTTGCCCTCGAAGAACTTCTGAGCGTCGACCAAAGTATCTTTGTATCGGAGCACCCCTATCCCTGTTGGCAACATGGAAGGATGGAGTAGTATAAGATAGAGCATGTACCGAGAGACCAACTTGCTCATCTTGTATTGCGTGATATCTTCAGCGCTTCTGCCCCGCATCTCCTCCTTGTCCACGTATTGACAGAGCTGATTGACAGAGCTCAGTGGCGACGTGCCAGATGAGGATACTCTTGTCAAACTCCATCGCTTCCACACTCCATGTCAGATGACCACAGTTTGACCTCATCAGTATTTCGCTCGCCTCCAGCTTGAGACTCGCCAGCCCGTTCTCCAATCTGTGGTTCCGTTCCAGATTTTGGGCCGTATCCCTCATGTGACGGAAGATCCATTCTTTCACGTTGCTCTTGAACATTTTGTAACCGATGTAAAAGATCATCAACTTCTCGTCTGACTTGGAGAGCCACGGATACTTGAGGAAGATCCTGTTTCTCTTCCTGATAGATAATCTGAAGAGGTTGAACTGGGCCACGTAATTCGACCATCTTCTGTTCGGGCAGAACTGGAGAAAAGCCACAGCGGATGAAATTGCGGATTTCCCGACTCTCTGAAGCTGCCAGTGGTTGACCCAATCGGATGAAATTGCTAGAAGAAGCGAGTAAATCTCTAAAAGTATAGCCACGCTTATCAGAAAGAAAGTTATACAGATATCAACTTTGGCGTAATCCTTCTTATCCTGTAAGGAGAAGAATACCAAAATGGCACTCGGCACAGAGAGACTGACGGCCCAACGAATGATGCTCCAAGCACAGTTCAGCAATGGCACCTTGGTGTAGAGAAGATCGTACATAAGCCCAAGCTCGATCTCCACGATCCCAAAAGCCATATTCGAATCCATGTGACGATGTTTCATGAACATGCGCTTACAGGCCTCGAGGTCCCCAAATCTGCGGATATAGCCCAAGAAGAGAAGCTTGAAGACCTCGAACAACTCATAGGCTTTGTCCATAGTGAAGACTTTTTCGTTGGAGGCTTCATAGCTGTTCCCTGGGAAATCATCCGCACATGAAACCTCTGTGACCTCGTCGATTTCGACCAGGTAACCCTCCAGTTCCTTCAGAGTGTACTGATCCATTATCCTGGTGTATATGGGAACGAAATTCGGGAGTACAAGCAACGAATCTCGAAGCCGGCCTTCGTTCGCCAAGTACAAACACAATATCCTCTCTGCATATTTCATGAACCCCACCAGGATCATACCCACTGCGAACATCGACAGTGGAGACCCCGACAAGGCCATGAAGTAAATGAAACACACTAGTCCTACCTGGATGCAAAGCCGCACTAACTGCCTCAGCCATAGGTCGTTGTTCTCCTGGCCATACGCGGTGATCGTGTCCGGCCCGCCCAAGTGGAGGAGAAGGAATGGTGCCCAGAACGCTGTAATCTGGCTCTTCGGATTGGTTGTCCCCTTCGTTTCCTGGATGTTGGCCAGGCGGCTCGAGAGGATACTGAGAGAGAAGGTCGCAATGGAGTCGGCCAATAGGTATGTCGTCCAGATCATTACATGGTTGCAGTACGAGAAGATGGATTTCCTTCGTCTGGCCTGAGTCGCAAGGGTCAGTTGGAGGAACAAGCTGAGGAGGACAAGCAACCGCATCTCCCACTCCTTCCACAGTTCACGAGTGTTTTGAAGAAGCAGCGAAAATTCCATGGTTGAACTCAAACTGTTGGCACCGAAAGGCGCAAGGATCGGGGTGCAGTCTCAAAGAGCAGTAAAACTTGGGACGATATATGGAGGGGACAAAGCAAGGCAAAACAGCATTAGCCTTGAATTTACCTCTGCCATCTTATAAGCATTAACTTGGGATTAAAGCCCACACACAACACACACACACCCCCCCCCCCCCCCCGGAATAGTAAATGTAACACCCAGGACACAGTACTCCACACCACCTTTCGAATGCATGATTGTCAATCACTACGCATAATTTAAATCCTATGAACTTCACTAACTCATTGTGATTTTCACACTTTGTTTGGCATGCATTATCAGTCTAAGCAATTCATGTCGAATGATAGAGTCACCTATTTGGCTAGCTATAGCAAGTAAAGACGCACAAAAAGAGGCCAAAAGAGGGTGATAAATGGTCCCTAAATTGAAGCAATTTTGATGCATTGAGTTGATTGCTTCAATTCCAGCAGCAGCTTTTTATTTCCTTAATCGGTGGTTTTTGTATCAAGTCCGTGAATGAAATAGTCCACTACGAATAAAACATTGCACGATGAGCGCATTTAGCTCACATCCTCGTCATTTGATGTGGTTTATGACCTCCGTGATCAGAGTCATCCATGCCTGACCAATTGGCCTTTGGTGTGCGACAGTCGCTATACATTTTTCTCCATTTATATACAACATTTCACAAGGAGGCATGTGGTGTATGACGGTCGCTGAACATTTCCGTCGCCCACGTGCCATCCCATGAAGGAAATGTGGCACCACCTCTAGCTTAACTTGATTAAGCCCTTAACATTGCAAATCAAGGCTTGAAACATCCGACTCACTACAAAAAAACACGAAATTTGCGACGAACGTTTTTCCGTCACAAATTTGCGACGGATTACATTTTCCGTCGCAAATTTGCGACGGTTCATTTCCGTCGCAAATTTGCGACGGATTTTGCGACGGTTTTATTTTCCATCGGAAATTTGCAACGGAAAATGTAATCCGTCGCAAATTCCGTCGCAAATTTGCAACGGAAAATACAATCCGTCACAAATTTGCGACGGAAAAACGTTCGTCGCAAATTTCCGACGGAAAATAAAACCGTCGCAAAATCCGTCGCAAATTTGCGACGGCATTGTAAGTCCGTCGCAAATTTGCGACGAAAACTTCGTCCGTCGCAAATTCGTAGTTTATCAGCCCGTTATATTCCAACCCTATCTCTCTCTCTCGCTCTCTCTCGCTCTCTCTCGTTTTTCTCCCTCTTTCGTTTGTCTGAAATCAGCAAAATCCGCGCGCGCGCGCACATATTAATCTCGGTGAAGCTTTTGTACCGGTAAGTGTCATAGCTAGCTTCGTGACTATTCGTCGTTGCATTGTAATTTCCGTTTTTTAATATATGTTTATGTTTGTTTTTTTTTGGTATCTGCATCACCGGTTTAACGACCGGCGACCGGCGACACCTCGCCGGCCTTTGGATGAGGCCGAACGGCCACGCCGTTTTGCGACGGAAATAGTTTCCGACGCAAATTTGCGACGAATAAATGAAAATTCTGTTGCAAATTTGCGACGGATACTATGTGCAGTCGCAAGTTTGCGAAGGATACCTGATTCCGTCGCAAATTTGCGACGAATAAATGAAAATTCCGTCGCAAAATTTGCGACGGATTTGAGTATCCGTCGCAAATTTGCGATGGAACGTAGTATCCGTCGCAAATTTGCGACGGCACGTAGTATCCGTCGCAAATTTGCGACGGAAACCTGATTCCGTCGCAAATTTGCGACGAATAAATGAAAATTCCGTCGCAAAATTTGCGACGGATACTCAACTCCGTCGCAAATTTGCGACGGATACATTCCGTTTCCATCGCACATTAAAAATTATTAAAAAATGATTCTTAAGTGATTATTCTTTTTTGGGTATGTGCCTAATTGAAGGTCTCGCAATCCAAGTGGACGTTGCAATTCTCATCAAATTGATCACTTTCTCCTACAAATATTTCAGTCAAATATTTGGGTAAGTCTTCTTTACATTGTAGTTTTTTCTATTTTTGCAATTTCATATTAATTGTTGCGTGAATAACAAAAATTATAATTTCCAAAATTTTATGGTTTTAATTAAGAACAATAGATATGATATTTTAAATATTTTACCAGAATTTTTTATTTTAATACAGACACAATGCAAAGAGAAAGGGCTTGGATGTATAATAAGAACTTACCTGGACGTCAAGGATTGACAGATGAGTTTCGTACTGGGTTGGAACTATTTTTAGACTTTGCTAGTAGTAAATATGAGTTTATGGATGGAAATAAGTTAAGGTGTCCATGTAAAAAGTGCGGTAATGGTAAATTTCTTGTGTGTGATCAAGTTAGAGAACACCTTATTAGATTTGGGTTTACTCCGAACTATTATAATTGGACTTCCCATGGTGAACCATTTATATCTGATGAAGGATATGGAAGAAGTGACCAATTTTCAGTTAGGGAAGAATGTGGCTATTATGAGCAATTGAACCCATACGAGAGGATGGTGATTGATGCAGCTAGTTATAATTTTGTCACAGAATCAAATCATGCAAGTACTAGTTTTACTCCTACACGTGAACAAGTGGGTACTAGTCATGCTTCACAATTGGAAGATATAGGAATAACGGGTTTTGAGGAGAATGTGTATAATGAAACTTTTCAATCTAATCAGTTCTGGGATGTCTTGAAAGCAGCAGATGAACCTCTATGGACAGGTTGTGAGGACCACACTAAGTTATCGATGACAGCCCGACTATTAAATATCAAGGCAGAGCATAATGTGTCTGCGGATTGCTTCAACTCTTTTGTTGAAGTAATGCGGGAATCATTGCCTCGTGATAATAACATGCCAAGTGATTTTTATGATATGAAAAAGCTAGTGGATAACTTAGGTCTTCCGGTTGTAAGGATTGATGTATGTAGTAGGGGTTGTATGATATATTGGAGAGATGATGAAAATGCAGAATCTTGCAAATTCTGTAGCCAACCTAGGTACAAGATTAACAGGAGGCCGGGTCGTAATCAGAAGCATAAACCATGCAAGCAAATGTTTTATCTGCCCTTAATCCCCAGATTGCAAAGGCTTTATGCGTCTACAGCCACTGCTGAACACATGACTTGGCATGCAAATCATGAAACAGAAGAGGGTCTAATGTGTCATCCTTCAGATGCAGAGGCATGGCAACATTTTGATAGAACATACCTTGAGTTTGCAATGGAGCCTCGGAACATCAGGTTAGGTCTCTATGCCGATGGATTTGCTTCATTTGGGAGAACAGGAAAAAGTTATTCATGCTGGCCAGTTATCTTAACGCCGTACAATCTTCCACCTGATATGTGCATGAAGACACCTTATATGTTTTTGACATTGATCGTGACAGGGCCGCAAAATCCGAAAAAGTTGATAGATGTTTATATGCAATCATTGATTGAGGAGTTACAACGGCTATGGGTTGAAGGTGTCCCTACGTATGACGTTTCTACCGATCAAACATTTGTTATGAAGGCTGCCTTTTTTTGGACGATAAATGACTTTCCAGCTTACGGAATGTTATCTGGATGGAGTACAGATGGGATCTTAGGATGTCCGATATGTTTGGAGAGGACAAAGTCATTTAGATTAAAACATGGAAAGAAGCCTAGCTATTTTGACTGTCACAGATAATTTTTACCGCCAAGTCATCCTTTCAGAAGGAATAAGAAAGAGTTCAGCAAGAATAGGACTGAAAGAACGCGTCCACCATTGAGGTTGACTGGCGATCAAATTTGGGAGCGTGTGCAGGACTTTCCAACTGTTGTTGAAAACCCGCACGGCACGACTTTTGAGTACGGAAGTACACATAAGTGGACAAAACGCAGTATATTTTGGGATCTACCATATTGGAAGGCCCATCTTATTCATCATAATCTTGACGTCATGCACATAGAAAAGAATGTTTTCGACAATGTCATGAATACTATGATGGATGTCGCCGGAAAAACAAAAGACAACTTGAACGCAAGAAAAGATATGAGAGATATTTGCGATCGGCCAATACTAGCTGTGGATGCAAGCAGCAGGGGACCAAAACCGAAAGCAGTTTATACATTGGATAAGGAGCAGAGGCGAGTTGTTTGTCAATGGTTGAAATCTGTGCGGTTTCCTGATGGATATGCTTCGAACCTCGGGAGATGCGTTGATTTGAAGGAATGCAAGTTGACAGGTTTGAAGAGTCATGATTGTCACATCCTGATGGAAAGACTAATTCCAATAGCTTTGAAGGAAGTTTTACCGAACTTTGTATGGGGCGCCATTACAGAATTAAGCAATTTCTTCCATGATATTTGCTCGACAGTGTTAAAAGCATCGCACATGGAAAAACTAGAGAGAGATATTCCAATTATTCTTTGCAACTTAGAAAGGATATTTCCTCCAGCGTTTTTTGATTCGATGGAGCATCTCTTAGTTCACTTGCCTTATGAGGCCAAAGTTGCAGGTCCCGTCCAATTTCGATGGATGTATCCATTTGAGAGGTAATGTTTTCTTTAAAATACAGTTCAAATGAGTTTATCATATAATATGTCCCGATAAGCTTCTTTCTATTTCAACTAGATTCTTATATCATTTGAAGAAAAAAGTGAAGAATAAGGCACATGTTGAAGCTTCAATTTGTAATGCATATATTGTGGAAGAAGTGACGACATTTGCATCATACTATTTTGAGCCGCACGTTCAATGCAAGAGGCGGAGAGCAGGCAGAAATGATGAGGGCCCCATTGATCCCAATTGCACAGCATTCTTTATTTTCAATTATCTGGATCGACCAAGCGGCGCATGTCAGTTTCGTTATTTATCAGGCGAAGAACTTCATGCAGCCCATACTTATATTTTACTGAACTGTCCAGAAGTCAAGCCATACTTCAAGTAAGTGTAAATTTGTAAATATATGTTTTGCGTGTCAAATATTTGCTAATAATGATAT